CCAACCAGACGGGCTGCTAAGTCCTTCGGTGTAGTTGCTCCTCATCCCCAAATTCCTTGCTCTCAGCAGAACAGTCCTGTATCTCCAGCAGCAGCACACCAGCACCACACACCACTCCTATTTTCCACAGAACTGGCTGCAAGTTAATAGCTCCTCTGCACATGCAACCTGCAGCCGGTCAGCACCCACCACCCACATTAAAGGCACCGATGTCCTGCACGCAGGATACCAAGTCTTTTTTTTTAACTGCTTGTGGCTATCAGTAATGAAGTTTGAGTTAACCCCTGTTGCTAGGATAGGCAAGAAAATTAACCCAAAAGGTGCAGAGATACTGTATTCAAGAGAAGCAGCAGCACTTGAGGAAATGAGTCCAAGCATCAACATCACATTCACAACCATCTGATCCCCATGTCTGAAGCTTCTCTGGACGTGCATGGGTACAGCACACCCCCTGCCTCCCTAAATTCAGCAAGACTGTGCACTTGATTCATTATACCTCTTGAAGTAGTTTGCTTTGGTCTATAGCATACTTGTATGTAATGTATCACAGTACAGCCACGGGTACTGCTTGGACATGAGACTGGCTGGTACGAATTCCTGAGCTGCAAAGACAAGTTTTTTCTAACTCTATATGGAGGATTTCAGCCTGGGTATGAAAACATCCCAGCACACCAGCCACTCACCTTGTCTACAGCCCATGAGAAAGCAGCTCTTCCTTCAGCCAGCAGTGTGGGATGAGAGCATCCCAATTCCTGGGGTGTTGGGTCCTCTCGCAGTATGAGGGGCCCACATGGGTACGCCAGGCAGTGACTCACACGGGACTAACTCCCCCGGCTAAGGTGGAAGAGCCCAGACAGCAGGCCTGTTTCACTTCTCTCTTGCATTGTGTACCGAAGTGTTCGCAGCCCACTAGAACCATTCATAAAAGTGAGAACTTTTCTTAAATGCGGAATTACAGGCCAAGGACAGCTCTTTTCAGGCTCTCCTACCTTCACTCAGTTTTGTCTAGAAATTAACACACATACTATACCATTTAAATCTTTTCCCAGTACCATCCCACACATTTCCCTCTTTGCTAGGTGCTGTCAGAACAGTTTTGACTTCAGCACTGTCACATAACTCATGCTGCAGCACGGAGGCTGTGGCAATGTTTCTGCATGGATCTGCCACAGGTTCCTCAAAAGATAGCAATCAGGTGAATGTTTCCCATTCCTCTGTAGACCATTCTGGTGAGGTCAAAGGAAACTACTAATACACACCCTCAGCTATGCTCATTACTGGAACCAAGCAACACCACACTCATCCCACCTGAAGTGTTGCACTCTTCACTCATCCAAGGGAGAAATCTAAAGCTGCTGAACAGCTCTAACAGCAATGCAAAGAAGTGAAGAATGATTACGGGAAAAGAGGAAAAAGGCTTATTTTGACTTTTAGCAATACCCCATGTTGTTCACGTTGAACCTAAAATACTACACACTTTACATTAATTTAAGTGCACACTCTTAAAGGTTCCGTGCAATGTCTACAAATTTGTCAGGGAAAGGGAGACATTAACATTTTCCCAAACTACAAAAGCTGGCTCCAGGAATACCTGGCACTTTAGGCTCCAAAGATATGGGCTGAAATAATACTACAATGAATAAGCAATTTACTCAAGGTCACTTGGTGTGTCAGTAACAAAAATCCCTGAGTTAAAGTAGAAGAATCTCCTTTCCCTGACTGCCAGTTCAGCAAGTCTTAACCAAATTCAAGAGTCAACACCGAAGTAAAGAACAGAGCTGTTTGACTCTGCACCCAGGTAAGATCTTTTGATGGCTCCTCTTCTGGCACTGCTACTCTCAGCTACAGAGGGAACCTAAGGCAACTCAGCTCTTACTGCAGATGTCTCAGGTCTGTAGTTCAATGAGGAGAGACGACTCTGTGGCTCTGCCCCTGTTCTAGTTGAACAGCCATGCTGGACTGAGTCCTTAAATAACAGAACCTTGCTTCGCATCTCTGAAAGACACCCGAGAACTCATTGGATAAGCATTAAGGAGATAACTATTAGAAAGGAATAATGCTAACAGAAAAATTAGAAGCATGATGAGAATTTCCAAGTTACATTGCTTTAGTTCTTAAATTAGTCTACAGATTGCCCATTTTGAAATTAGATTTATTACTTGATCAAATTGAAAACAACATACAGGCTACCAGAGTCTTGATTTCATCCCATGTTTGCATTAAAAAAACAAGCACAACTGCAGACATGTCAGACAACAGGAGCCCAGTTAGAGAATGGAAGAACTGAGATGCATTGGAAGCCTTGGGATATGTGGCTACGCTCCTCAAACAGTACAGAATCAGTTCAACCCAGCTCAAAGCACTGGGAAGAGAGAGAAGGAGCAAGGAGAATGGGTCCTACTACTGACGGTACTGTCTCTGATCATCTGAGGGGTCTGCTGAGGGAGAGAGGTCTCCTAGAAGTCCAGCCACAGGCAGAAACATTACTGCAATCAGGTGCTTTACAAAGAATACAGTCACCTTTTTAAACCTTATAAAAAGTAATCACTGGCTTGCCAAGCTCATCCTGAATTAAGAGCAAGCCACTATTTGTTTATAATAAAAATGCTTTTTATGGGTCCAACCTGAACCAGTCACAGATGGAAGCTTCCTGAAAAGTGAAGTGAGGAGGTCTACTGCCTGCAGCATCACATGCAATGGACCTAAAGAAGGGCCATCAGAGCTCCCATGGGGCATAATGAGTGTGATTTCCTACTGAACACATTCAAGAAGCACCTGCCTAGCTGATACTCTGGCAGCACCTTGCCCTCACTGGAATGATGCTGTAACACGGATAAATACACTTCCAAAAACAAACCACTGGAGAAAATTATTATCAGTCAAAATCAAAGTACAGGTAATGGAAAGCATATGTACCTTTGAGACAGCTGCTCTGTAAAGAGCTTTTATTGCTACCTGTTATACTTCAAGCCATAAAACCAATTGTTTTTGCGAAGACAAATAATATAGGCCCCTCAAACATCAGGGTCACCAACTTAAAGTTCACAGAGAGAAGCCAAAACGCAGTTCAATCACTGCAGTAGGTAAAGTATGCTCACATTTGAACGATGCAGCACAAGAACTGATGGGAAAATTGGGAAGGCCCTTTGTCTCAGAGTGCAGGATGGCAGCGGTTTCCAACACAGGGCAACTGACAAAAGCAAATCTGGAGCCCGCAGAAAACGCAGCATAACAAAGCTCCTCTTCCAGAACAAGTACTAGGCATAGGAGCTCTTAAAAGTCACTCAATACTGTTAGAGGTGGGTGGCAAAACCTGCTGCAGTTGAACAACAGCACTCCAAACAAATCCAGCTGTTTAGTACTAGGTCATCATTTAGGATGAAGCTGTTGAGCCAGGTGTTTGCAGCACAGGTAGCACATGGCACCTAAAAGGTGCATTTAAGTTATAGGGCAATTTGGGAACAAAGCCTCAACACAGGCACCTTTTCTCTGGAGGAAGAATGGCAGATGATATGAAGAGTATGTTTTTCAGTAATATACAGGTAATGTTCAGCCTATGAGAAGTTAATACCAAATCTTACGATATGCTGACAGAACAGAGGCAAGTTTGTTAAGGCCCTGCCAGATCTTCTCCATGTTTGCTCGCAGCACATCACTTCAGAGAGGCTTACGTACAAGCTAAGACGTCAAAGTGCAATTGCGTTCCTATTGCCTAGACCAGAGTAACTGCAGCTACTAGACTCCGCTCTTAACAGATCCTAGTTTTATCAAGCCAACTATCCCATTCATCAGAAAGCGATTTAATACCCTGAGACCAGGAGTTTTGGACAAGGGAAAAAGAAAAAAACCCACAAAGGAAAGCCACTATCGCCTTTCAGAATCTGTTTAAGCCTTCCAATACTGATGAATGAGGTATTCTACCACAAAAATGGGACAGAATACCTTTATGCAAAACAGTGGTTGTGCAAATCTTTGCTACTCATATCAGCCTCCTGACCCTATAAAAATGTAGGGATAAGTAAGTTTTTCTTTATAAAAGTTGTAGTTTATTTCTTTTCTGATCAAGAGTTGTATCACTACACAATACTACATTTTATTGCTAATCACAAACTGATGCACCGGCGTTTCAGAAGAGTTTGGTTTATAGCGTTCCTATGTAACAAAAGGAAAAAAGTTACAAATCCAGACTTTGCAGACACATTGCCATGTCCCTATAGAAGCAGGGATGCATTAGGTCTGTTTCACTAGAAAACTGTCCTCTTGAACTGTTTCTGGAGAACACGTAACCATAATTTTCTCCAGCAGGAAAAGTCATCCCATCATTCCATGCAAAAAGAAGGCGGCCAATCTGCTCCACAGCCTAAAATCCCTTTCCTACAGAATGGGAAAGGAACGTGTATTTACACGGCTCCTACTGTGGTGTGTTAATGCTTAAATTACTAGGAGCAAGTTGGCACATCTTCTGCGTACACCTACCACTCAGCTTAACTCAGCTTCCTATTGCTGGGGTAGCAACTTCTCTCCAACACAACTGAGATGTGCCCTACTAATACTCTATAAAAATGCTGCGATAACCTTTGCCAGACAGCAACACAGCAGCACTCCTGCTTCAGAAGAGCATTGCACAGCCTTTCAGTAATACATACAGTTCAGTGCATGCTTTATCTGTCTCAGACCCAATATTAGCTGTTGTAAGCAAAAGCCTGCAGCCACACGACAGACAGTGCTGCCACAGAAGAGGTACCATACTGCTTCAGATACCGCTGCCCTGTCATCCCCAATACTGTGATGCTTGGATTTCAAGAAGGGAGAGTTAGGACTCCGTCCCTTTGGTTATTATTGCCTTAGAGGGGGTGGGGAGAAACTCAAAAGAAACTCTGTGGGAGCTGAACGTCTACTGGGAGCTGAATGCCTATTCTTGTTAGAAGGCTGCACTGCGCAGGGCTCCAGAGAGATCTCACTGATTCTGAGGCACATACTATTACAGTTAAACTTATGATTAAGTAAGTCAAAACAAGTATCGGAACAAAAATATTAAATGGAGGGTTAAATAATTTGTCCTATAGGATTCAATTTCACATTTCACCTGTTCACACAAGCACCTCCTGTCTGCTTGGATCTGAACAGCCTACAGCTCAACCTTCAGAAAGGAGGTGCTGAGAAACAAGAGACTGAAGCTGCTTGCAACAAAAAGATGGATATAAATACAAAAAGAGGTTCAATTTCAAGCACCAGTAATACTGCCTGCTCAAGCCCAGGTGTGGTCACCAGGGAGACTCCCAAAATCAGGAACATTATTCAATTAAAACAATAGACCGTACTATTCTGCAGCTGCCAAGATTCCTGGCTACAACTCCCAAAAGAGTTTGCCACCTGTCAAAATTGTCTCTAATAAAAAAGCAAGGCTGCTTGACGAGATGAAAGCAACACCCCCAAGCTGGCTTATTCAGTAAGGACCCAACTTCAGACCAGGAGTCTGCAGGCATCAGCTTCAGCAAATGGGATCTGTTTCACTATCCAAGAGCTGCCTTTCAGCTACTGCAGAGCATCAGCTTTTTAGCTTCCTTAAAAAACAAAACAAAAAACCCTGGATTCGAAGCATCCAAATATGGCCTGTTGTACTGGAGCGTTTAAATCCTTGGGGGAGGTGGGCATCTTCTTCCTCTGCCACAGGCAGTGCTTACTCCATGATGGCCCGGTACAACGCAGGTTCAATGTAATCTTCACGGTAGCGTGAATTGATCACCCTTTGCCTCTTCCTCTCTTGTCTGACCTCCTTCTCTGCGAAGATCTCCGTGAAGCGCATATCTGAAGCTATTGACTACGAGAAAAAACAGAATTAGTCACTAGAATACAGATCGAATCTCTGCCTCCACATCCTCCTACTGCATGTAAGAAAGAACCAAGTCAGGACACTTGGGAACATTCAGCCTTCTTCAAAAACTAACTAAACACAAGAAGAAAAATATTTAAAGAAACTGGATTTAAAAGTCTGGGGATAAGTGTAAGTGAACTATAATGAGAGATCTAAAGAATCACAGGTTTCAAATTTAACTGAGTAGCTAATTTAAGTTCACAATCACTTTCTTCAAGGAATAAACACACTCATCTGTTCCAACTTTCAAGCAGTCTAGTACATTTTGTGCGTTACGGAGCAGGCATATTTAAACACCTGGTCACAGGATTCAGCTGTGATACGTTCTTTCTTAAACCTCTAACATCTTGCGTGCCTGCCAACAGGTTCTGCATTAGGGTGTGCATGATCATGCTGCAAAGCAAGATACCCTACCCTAGCATGCTGTCCATAGTTACATTTTTTATAGCGGGAAGCATAAAGCAACAGAACGGAGACCCAAAGGGATCTCCATCCTTGAAGATAATCAAAACTTGACTGGAGCAAGCCCTGAGCAACCCTGTCTAACTTCAAAGTCACCCCTGTTAGGAACAGGTGTCTGGAGCAGAGACCTGCAGAGGTACTTTTCCACCTGAATTATTTTACAATTTTAAAAATGGCCAGCTCTCTTGATGCCACCCTACTAAGAGCTTTTCAGAGCAAAGGGTAAGTGAAGGAACTTGGCCATTCTTTGCAATGAGAATAGACAATGAAACTTGGAATACAGCCGTGAAAGGGTATTAATGTGCTGTCCCAAACAGTGACTATGCTATGAACTCCCGTCTCTGCAGAAGGATAATTAAAGTCTCTCCAGAGCAAGACAGAACTTTGCTTTTGTAGCCTGATCAACTACCAAGCTTCGCAACAATTGAGGAGAGCATCAGATTGTAATCTTTTGCTGTCATGCACTCAGCTTGTTATTCAAGGACAAATTAAGTTAAATGAGCTTCTTTAGTAGAAGTTTGCATCCCATTCACCTACCAGCCTTGACTTCACTCTCTTAGGAAGCTCCTCTTCGAGAGTATACACATCATCCCTTTTCACCATCAGCTGTGACCCATCTTCAAATTCCACCTAGAAGAAAAACAGAACTTGTTTTGCCAGAAGTCTCAGAAGTTAGAACCCTCCCATAGCTACCCAGAACTTGCCTTCTCCTCCCCACAGAGGGCTCTCATGAAATAATGTTCGACCACTTGAGTTGTATGAGATACATATGCAGGTATGCACACTGCAACAGACTTTAACCAAAACCTCACCAATCCCATGACAGTAAAAGTAGCCTAGCAAGTTTTGGGATATTCTTGTAACACCTGACAAGACAGTCTGGCTGCTCATTTTAATATGGCCTGAACATTCACCCTTTTGGAAGCTTGCAAGGCATGATGCACTCTTACTAAACAGAGAAAAGCAAAACCGAACTTACTTTAAGTAGTTTAACCTACAGGAACAGTCTGCTGAAGAATTGCAGACCAGCAATTTTTCAAAAGCTGACACTATCAGGTAGCCAGATATAAGTACAGCTGCAAGCAACCACTTTGCTCTTAACTCCAGCAACTGTTACCAGCATCTGGCATTGCTGACAACACTGAGTAACTTCCCCCGAAGTGTTTAAGCATGACTCCCCTATAGCTCTACTGGCTTTAAGAAAAGCCCTGTTAACATGATCAGCTTGTTATGAATGATGAATTTTCAGACAACAATTCTTACCTGGTACATCTGGATGGCATGTGATGCAACAAACTTGGCTCCATAAACTTGTCCATCTGTCCATCTCACCTGCACAACTTCTCCTTCAGCTGGGGGACCTAACTGAAGACAGTCTCGACTCTACAGCATGAAGACGGAAGGTGGCAGAGACAAGGAGAAGGGTAAGCAGCTTACTTATGTGAAGATTCAGCAAAGCACCTGGGAGTGCATCCCAGTCACACTGCACACCACCCCAACAATTACTCCATTTTAGGGATGGAGAACTAGGCTGAGAGACATCCGCGTATATCATCTGTATTTAAATCCCAACAGTGGGCCCAACTTTAAAGTACTTCATATGCAGGAATGGTATGCAAGTATCAGCAAGTTTTCCTTCAGACCTACCACTGCTAAGCCGCCAAAGATTAGCTGCACTCCCTGTTACACCTGTTCCTATGTGCCCTCAGTTAAGTCAGTCTCATGTAACACCCCTAAGGCCATCTTGCAGCACATCTCAGCCACAAGACAACCTAGGATTGGAACAATTACCAAATTCCCTGGTGTGTCTGCTCTGCAGCAGCAAGACTTCACTCACATCATGTGCCCTCTACCGGAGCCAGACTCCCACTGCATAACATACCACAATGTCCTCTGGATACAGGTTATCACTGAAGGAACCATCATCGAAGTTGACCTCGTAGAAAGTCTCCTTTGCAAGGCTGACCACTTCACACTGATAGAAGCGACCATTCTTGTGCTTGCTGATGACTATCTGTCCAGGTGACAGATCCTGGAGTGCAGCCTTAGCTCGCTGAGAAGAAAAAAAAATCACTTTTTACACAGTGACTCAATATAGAATGTGTTGAGGACTGTAGCTCCAGTGCTGGCAGACAAGGAAGATGAGGTGAGTAACTCTACTCAAGACACCATCAGCCGCATTTTTAGAAAAGTTCTGCCTCTGGTATTTCAAATGCTTAAAGCTTAACCTGTTAGATGCAGCTGTCATTAATTTACTTAGTAAAATAAGCTCTCATTCTTCACAACAATGCAAGGCCTTTACACTAAATATTGTCTAATAGGCTTCTGTGGTTTTGATGGCTAAAAGGGCTACAAGGGAACTTTATAAACTAATCAGTCACTTAAACATGAAATTCTATGACCACTCATGCAGTCTGCTGGAGTCCCAGCACTAACTCCTGCGTATTAAATATCACAGCATAAATCCCACTAATATTCCTCATTACAACAGCCATAGGAGGGATGTAATGCTCTCAGTCCTTCTGGGCTGCAAACCAAAATACAATAAAGGATCTGACTAAGATCACTCAGAGCAGTAGCAAGGTTTAGAGCAGAATCCAAGACCAACACCGTGAGATTATACTGAACATTCTGAAAGAGCTGAACTTTTCATTCCCTCCAAGATACTGCAGTTCAAATCCTGGGAGCCACAGATCTACCCACCTCTGCCTGAGATGGAATCTTATGCCTGAAGCAGGTAATGAAGACAACAAATGGCCAGTCATCAGGCTGCATCATGACTCCTGCTGCTTGGGCACAGCTGACATGAAAGGATGTGGGACACCGACCATGTGAGCACTGTACGCAGCAACCTGCAATTCTCTTTCTTCTTTTCTTGCAGAAAATGCATTTCTGTGGACACAAAACTAGCAGTTATTGGTTGGCACTAGCTTTTACTCCACACAAAGGGCTAGCTGGTCTGAGTATCTGATATTGTGCCATTTCCTCTCTGTGAGAACACTGCTACTTTCTGATTAAAAAGAAGCAGAAGGCTACCAGTTCTAGTTTATGACAAGGCAATAATTCATAAATTTAAAGTAACCCCATAGACAAAAAATGTACATTAAATATCTACCAGCTCAACATACACAAAGCATGCGACCCAGGGATGCTAGCAACAAGAGACCTTAGACTAAATCAGTCTACAATGCTCCAAAGTCAACAGGGCCTTTCAGCACTTGGTTATTAAGTTACACAGAGAAGAGCAACACGATTAGAATAATGGGCAAAGATCAGAGACCAAAAAAAACCCAACCAAAACACAGAAGTAACAAGTTAAAATTCTATCACTACTACCAGTGACCGAATTACACTTGGGTCAGGCCTGATGGGCTGTTGTAGGAAAAGAATGTTATCTGTAATGCATTAGCACGTGCAAAGCACTTAAAATCATTTTCCCCTCAACACTGAGCTGTTAGAAGAGTTAAGTACAGTTGCCTTCTTGCTGAAGACATTCACTCATTATACAAATGCCTCACATATCCTGAAGCATCTCAGTGCCCAACAGTAGTTAATAAAGCAAGTCAAATACTAGCGATTAGAAAAATAACAAACAAAAATCATTACACCACTGTATAAATGCCATTTGCTAGACACAGAAAACTGTGCCCCGCTTGCTCGCTCCTCATCTGAATAAGCATATACTAGAACATGGAAAGGTTCAAAAAAATGGCAACAGGGACAATTGCCATTTCCCATATAAAGAACAGAGCAGACTAAATTCTTCAGTCTGGAGAGGAGACGACTTGGGGTTGGAGGGATAAGCCAAGTCTCTCAGATTCTGAATAGACTGGAGAGATGCTTCGAAACCTCTCCAGTGAAGCATAGGTGATCCTTACCAGTCTGAAACGTTGCAGGGGGATTTTGCCAACATCTACAGGACTCCGCTCTGCGATATTCACAAATTTTGCTTCCAGTACAGCTACAGCACACATCACATGAACCCACCTGTGAGGACAGAAGAGGGGAAAAAGAAATTAATATGCATTAGGCCAACAGAATACACTTTGGAGTTTAAGTAAATACAGTTCCGTTGAAGTTTGCTGTATAAACCACGATAAATAGCCTCTGAGAACTAGCAGTGTAATCTTCGTTCCTATTGCTAGTAACAGGGCACTGAGGGCAAAACCAAGATTTCTTCATACTTCCAATCTACTACTAACAGGCTTAACAGGACAGCAATTTAGTGTAGCTTGTGCTGGTTGCATACCTGCGTTACAAAAGCTCGCCTGATAGGCTTAGTCCTTCACAAACCTGTCCCATAGCAACTGCTCAGTCACTACTGAATTACTTTTGAGACCGTGACCAAGAGGTTGAGGCTCCATATAACATCCACAAAATTTTTGGAGGCCACGTTTCAGTCACCTCACAGTGCTACAAGTCTGTGCCACTGCTATTTTACACCAAATAACTTCAGACGATCCACCACACCAAAGGACACAGGACAGGCAGTTGTATGCAGTACACTTGCTGCAGAGGTACCCTGAATTTCAGTATGTTGTGCTACTTAAAGCTATGGTTGTCCTTTGTCTCCATTGCCACCACATGTTACATGGAGAAATCAAAATCCTCTACGAGAAGGTACTCAAGAGATGTTATGTCATCAGGAATCTTATTTTTATGTGGTACATTGTACCTCTGCACATTACATCTCTGTACTATAAAATGCAAAGCAATTAACAGCTGCTGTCAACAGAATGAGAGTGAAGCATTACCTGAAGAGATGATGATTCCTGCATGTGAACACAATGAACACACTTTGCCACAGCCCTCCCAGTAACACAAAGCGTGAAAGGTGTTGTTGGTCACTCCGTTACACCAAATGCAGACATTGGCTCTACTAGCTTACCCTCAGCTACTTAGGAATTGAGCTTCTCCCTTAAGACCAAAAAAGCTGGAGCACTCACTTGTCATCATTGGCTCTCTGCAGTGCTCCTCCTCGTAATGAACACAAACAGCAGTCCTGGCACAAGGAAGAAAGCATTTGGTGAAAGAGTGAAGTCCAGAGCGGTGCACTTGCTTCAGAACTTCCTCCTCAAAATGCATGTCCAGAGGAAGAAAATGGTTTCACTGTCAGAAAAGAGCTAACTACCTTGTACAGATTGGCCCTTTAGCTCTCAAAAGCTGCTGCCCTTAGGGCAACAAATATCGACTCCAAGTCTGTGGAAGGCAAGCAGACCTACCACTGAAGACTTGTTCAACTTGTTTGTTATGGGTTCCTTTTATAACCACAATACCCTATATCCTTTGAGGATGTGTAAAAGGACCTGGAACAAACACGAGCAAATACAATTCAAAAGGTTGACCCGTTCTGCTGATCTAGAGCCTATATAGCTTTTTGAGGGAATGCCATTCTTCTTGCCTTCTTCATATGTGCATGCCTCCCTAGTTATTAACAGAAGTTGCTTTCTGTTTTAGAAATAGTAGCTACTATAAATTAAGACAGACAATGGAGGTATTCCCACTTCCATGCAGAACATCTTCTCTATGACTCAAATGAACTCTGCAGCTTTGCGCTAGTTAAAAGGATTATATTGCTACGGCTTAAAAAGCGCCAAAATACAACAGACTGGCTCTTAAACGTTCTCTAAATTGCCTTCTTTTCACAGGAGGGAATTAAAAAAACCAAAAACCCACCACAGAAATTAATTTTGTAGCAAGTTCCCAGATGTACCAGACTCCATCTGTGAGAATCTTATGAGAAACTTTACCTCTTCTAAGGCATTTTCTGTACACCTGGAGCACATCCAGTCTTCAGTGGCCTTGTCAGGGGATACACCATAACAACCTAGAACAGACACATCTCACTTAAGAGCTTACCTAAACTCAGACCCATTCCCCTAGGGCCCAGAAGTAAAGCAGGAATTAAAATCAACAAGCCTAAGGATGATGCTGTATATGTCAAGTTATCCATGCAGCCAACTCCGTATTTCAGTGGCTAGCACTGAAGTGTATACCATTCAGATAACGGCTGAACTTAGTCTATTCTACTATCTAGTACATTAAACAGACTGGTAGAGGCTTGCTATGATGTACAGACTTACTACAGAGAACACTAGAGTTTAGGGTTAAGTCTAGATGCACTCACTTGCATGAACACAGACATGGCAGTTCTTGCAGGTGATGAGTACGCTGGTTCCATCTTCCTCTAAGTAGGGGGTTGAAAGATTGAGGTCAGTGCTGCAGCCAGTTGTAGTAAAGCACATTTCAGGAATCAGGGGTTTGGTTCTGATCTTCCCATCCACAGCAGCTGGAGTTACTCCAGAGTTTTGACTGTTGCCTCCACACTCTGCCTGTAAGGGATGGACAGGAAATTTAAGTTTTACAAGTAAAACTGTCTCACATCATCTTTACTCACCCACTATTCCATACATAAATCCAGTTTAAAGAAAGAATGAACGTGCTGAAAGATTAAAGAGTTAGTAGGTTAGGTGAAAATATAGTTAGTTTATAAAGTCCTCAGCTACTTCAGCTTCAGAATGAAATTCTTTTCTATCCAAATGGCTAAACATAAGGTCTGAACTGCATCCCTCTAATCAGCAACAAGATACACATCAAACTGCATCTCTTCTGACAGAAGAGATGGAATCACCGATGCCCACCTCATGCTCTATAGGCAACACCTCTGCTGCATCCCCCCGTCCCCTAACATAGAGGATCATAACACTACTATCTTACCTCAATATGGGAGGATTATGATCACACAAATAGACACCTACTACAATCCCCATTATTTTTTCCTAGTGTAGTACTGAAAAAGTCTAATGGGCTTTGAAACTAATTTGTTCCTGGGAAATAAGCAGACTAAAAATGTAGTTTCCCAGTTAAAGCTCAGGAGACTTTCAGGCTAATCTGTTGTAATTTATTCACCTAAAGCAGTGTCAAGCCAAACAGCAATTACATGTAAAGTTTACAGGGATATGCTTCCATTCCAGTTACCCTTCTTAACAACTAAATCGAAATGAATCTTTCTCTTTGAAGGAATGTTTCAAACCATCTTTTGTACCTCATAGGCCACCACAAAAGTAGCTTGCCTAATCTTTTAAAAATATTATTAGCAGAAATTGCAGTAGCAGAATGAAGCTGCACTGTCCCTCCTACAGTGCATTAAAAGGTAGGAAAAAAGTCTGGGTAAGGACCACAGTTGGAGGGGAACTTATATGTTTTCAACAAGTCTTGTTTATTCAGATTCTGTAAAACTTACTGATTTACACTGAACATTGCACGTCAAGCAAAAGACTAAATGACTGAGGGAAATCTATAACAAAGTTGAACAAAATGCGACTTTTCTCCAAGCAGCTAGATACTTTTCTTCTTCACAAAGGAAAAGTGAGTATTTGTCTGGCATTTTGTGCCAATTTTTTATTTGAATGGGTAACTGAAGTGAGTTCCCAGACTTGCTATAGACTTTCTGAAGTTGGAACAAAGACCCTAACCACAGCTCAAATCTTGGAAGAGTTTCTGCTTCACTGCCTGGTGCAGACAGACATTTGAAAACATGCAGCTAGAGTTTTCTGCTTAATAGCATTTAGAATTCAAAAAAAGAAGCTAACAGAACTTAAACCGTCCTCAAATTGTTAACTTTATACACTGTCAGCACCAGTGAAATCCATGTACTATGCAGCTTCTGTGTAGAATTTCCAGTCCTAACAAGAATCTACTCTCAGACAGAAATAGCAAGATTGAACAGAAACCATGGTCTATGGTTTTCACGGAAATTAGGAACTATATGCAATATTAACCCCCAACAAAAATTTGAGGTCTTTATTTCCAAAACTGTGGTGAACATGTTTCTAGTGCCACCATAATCATACATTGATCTCAAATGAATCAAATATGCTTAGTTTATGGGAAGGGACAAACTATCTCTAAGTTGCAGGTGGAACATGCCATCAGACAGCTATCCAACCTACCTTAAAATTACTTAGCTTAGGCACAGCAAAAAATTCAGTGTGGGACTCCTGCCTAAGTATTTAGTCAACATGACAAAGGGGTTCTGCAACCCATCTCAAGCTATGCATTGCTACAGCTTCACTTTGTTAAAGCACATTTTCACATGCCATAGCTACTGTCAATATGAACATACTCCAAGAAAAGACAGCTTTCTATCTATGCCATCCACAAACACAACCCTAAATCCCTTTAAGTAAAAGCTTTTCTTCCTTGCCAGCTTCCCAAAGACCATGTGCTATGAGTGGACTTGAAGTGTTTTTTAAAAAAATGTAGAAGTGAAGGTGTTAGTCTGGAAAAGAGAAACGGGATTTTATAGTCAGCTCCAGCAACGTTCCAGCTCCATCCTGTGGTTCCAGCAAAAGCCACAGAACACAACAGCTTCTGCTGAACAGGTGAGCGAGCCCCTGGGCACCCACAGGCAGTCCATCACAGGTGTGGTGAGCGTCACACAATTATGCTCTCCTGGAACAATTCCTTGGGAAGAGTGCAACACTGATACAGCTGTTGTTAACTGGCAATATGCAAAACAACATTTTTAAAGCTATGCATCACAGCAGCAACCTATTCAGTTACTTCTACGATAACATTAACAGACTTGGTCTACATACCTGATATGTCTGGAAGAGCATACAAACAGCGCAGTAAGGAGACTGCTGAGCCATGGTCCGATTGTATTCTTTTTCAGCCTCAAAATTTGGTGGCCGATTCTGCCACAGCTGGCTAAGTGGCTTGGCCCATGCTTCTGTTTCCTCAGCTTCTTCTTCAGGTGTTAGTTGCTCTGACGCCTCTGCGATAAGAGATCACTAACTCAGTGATTATGTGTCCTTTTATAAATACCATTCTTGCAAATGAAACTAAGTAAGACAAAAAGTTATGAATGGAGATGACGGAAAGACCGCCAGGAATCAAATTTACAGAAGAGTGATGGGAGCCAGTAACTCTGTCTCCTCTTTAAGAGGCTTCTACTCATCAAGCAACTGTGCAGACACAAGATAGGCTTATTGGGTGATAACAGCACCAGCTCCAAATTACATCAAGACTGTCAGCCAAAGAATCTGGTGTTTGGTTTTTTTTAAATCATGAATATTTATGTCAATTACTGGAATGCTCTAAGGCAGACACAATTATGCAACAGTCTCTGGTACCGGTTTAATTCTCCCTTCAGAGTTGTGACTTTCCAGAGAATGGAACAGGAAAGAAAGAAGACACCATTCGAGAGAAAAGTTTAATGATGCAAGCACAAAAAATGAGCCAAGCACCTTGTCTAGGATGCAGAGGTGTCACTTGCTGACTCCTATTTATTGCCTGTTACTTAATGGAATACCCACACTGTCCACAGAAGCTGAGACCCTCTCTACAGTTTCCCAAAGAGCACAAGGCTTACTTACCATCATCACTAATGCAGTCTTTAACCAAGAGCGGGTGATGGCGTGGGAGCTTGCTCAATGGCTGGCGACGACCCTTGGACTTCTTACTCTCCTTCATTGATCTTAAGTATTCCTTTGCTACCTGGACAAGGAGAAGCAATTTAGCAGTCAATTAGCACGTGTCCTTTTGATATTTTTAAAGGAATTTATGTTGAACTTAAAGAATCCTCCCCAAAATGCACACATGCTTCCATGACTTTATTTCTAACAAACTAACTTCAGCTCTAAACTAGCTAAGTTTTTGAAAGAACTGCTTGCAGCACTTTTGCTAGGGAAAACCAGATAGAGCTCTGCTAGCTCTCTTGAGCCATTAGAATAGAGACTTTTCACAGGTCCTAGTGTAGCTTTTCATGCAAGTCTGTTCATGTAAGAATCGTGTAAAAGACAAAAAAAGACAGACAAGTTGAATGGTTCAACTTAGAAGAGCCACGATAAGAAGTCTAACACGTGCTGGAGAAATCCTCAGTTTGTATGTCAACTTAAAAATTCCAAATTAAAAAAAAAAAAAAATTACAGAGTTCATTGGCATCTCAAACTAACAGGCTTATTTTAAATGAAGGAAACTTTCACCCTCTCTGCTTATTACTTGCATTGATGTCTTTCCAGACAGACTGGAAGAAGGAGACTACAACATTCGTTATTTCCTCTTCCCTTAGCCTTATGTAAAAACAAGTGACACACTGACAAAATTACTGCTAACCTGAAAGCAAGGCAATAAAGGCAATGATTTTAACAGCCCAGGAAGTCTCTCAGTAGATAAGAACCCCGCACCCCACCTTTTTTTTTTTTTTTTGAATCTGTTATTCCTCTAAGAGCAGAGGCAAATCTTAGATTAAATGCATCTTACATCTTTTTAAATCTCTTCTTTTCATAAAGAAGCCAGAAGAGAGCATAACAATCATTATCTTTGATCTCCTACACAAAGCTGGATACAAGACCTCTAAGAAACAGAAATGCTTTTATTCAAATGGAAATTAGCATTCCCAGTTAGCATCTGATGGAAAATTTTGTTTCAAAATACACCATACTGGGGAAAACAATCTACGCCCATTCAGAATTTCACCTTTTCCCTCTATGGAGCATGCAATGGAGACATCAGGATCAGCAATAAAATTTCTTAGTTTAAAATATCCATGAGAACTCTTTCTCAGTTTCAGCTTAATTATCAACAGATTTGCCCATTGGCTGTTCCATTTCTGTAATTTCTGAATTTCAAAGACATAATCATTATTGGCCTCCCACTCTCTAAACACAGATTTAAAAAGGGAAACAATAATTTGAGAAGACACCACCAGGTAAGATTTTAACTATTACAGCCTTCTCTTGGGTTCTCTAATAAAACATTAATTGGCAATTCCTAAACACTCAGATTTACATTCTCCCAACCAATAATTTTTGTTCCATCATTTCTTTTTTTAAGAGGGATACACAAATGTACCATGTATGCAATTTTATATTTAAAAAAACCCTCAAACATATTAATGTGCTCCTAATAAAGGCTGGATTGAACTAGATTCATTTTAGGTACAAATAGGTGTCTATTACTATAAAAGGACCTGAATCAGCCTGTAACACTACCATGTCAAAACTACCAAGCTACCCTTTCCCTTAAGCACTTGAATAATTTAGAGTGGTTCGCAAAACAAGGGATCTCCTTGTTTTCTAGAAGAGTTAAAAGTGTAAGACTTTCATCTTAATTCTTGTTTAGCAAAACCCACAGGTATTAAAAAACACATTAACAACTAAGCAACATCAATGGAACGAAAACGTAATCTGCACTGATAGGAAGTTTTGTCACAGCAAATCTGTGAGCACATAATACAGCCCTTAAGCTTTCAGTACTCTTGCTATTCATACCTCTGCCAGTTCTTGCTCATTCACACTGGCGGTGACACTGGCTTTCTTTCCTGAAGTCTGTTCATTGTCAGATCCGCTGGCATCCCCTCTAGCATAGCTATGGACTGTAAGCACCCCAGCTGGCCCAGGAAGAGTTCGTTTTGCCAACAGATCAGTCGATTCAGAGTCAGAAGAACCAGAATAGGCAGGCGAGCTGGGCTGAATGCTGGAAGTTGCACTCTGCTTCGAAGTCATCAAAGCTGAAGAGGAATTTGAAGAATGTGAAATTGAGAGATCCAATGCAGCTGTTTCTTGCTCTTGCTCTTCTTCTTCAAGCTTCACTGTTTTCAGTTCTTCAAATTTGGTGGCGTCCACACGATCTAGAAGAAAAGATATACTGACTTCTTCTAAAGTCTGGGTGGCAGAGAGAACATTCGTGCAACCATTTGCACAAAGCCAAACAGGAAAGCAAACTACTGCACACACAAAAAAGTGACATTAAGTCATGTAAAGAGTAGATCGTTAATTCAAACACCTATAAAATCATGGTTGGCTTAGAGAGAGAGAGAGAGAGAGAGAATAAAAGCATCTGCTCATTGCCTTTTCCAGTACAAGAACTAGGGTATATCAAACAAAACTAGCAGAGAGTGAGCTAAAAACAAACAAACAGAGATGATCCGTTACACAGCGTAGCTAAACAGCCCAACTCCTGGCCACATGATGCTGTGGGTAAGAGGTTACAAGGGTTCATGGGAGACTTAATAAAAGAAAAATAAAACCCCACAACCAATAGAAGATTATTAAATACAAGCTGCTAAAGGTTGGAAAACAGAATACTAGAGGGATGCATTACATATGTTTGCCCTGTTCTTATATTGTTCCATAGGCCCCTTGCTCCTCCCTTAAGAGCAAGGATAACTGACCAATTACAAGCCACGTTAATTTTCCTCCAGCCTACTGATTACAAAAATACAAACAAAACACCTATAGAGCATACCAGACCCACACTACCAGGAAGTATGTTCTGCTAAGCAATTTCTATAAACAGGTCACATTACACAACAGGGATACAGAGGACCTTAGACTACTGAGGCATCCAATAGATTTCTGTATGCAGGCAGACAAAATAAAAAGACCAAAAATCAAAAGCTAGAAACACCAATTTCTTAAGCAAGTCTCATGCAATACTTCCTTTTAATTCAGCTGAAAGGCAACTTCCCTGTAACCTACCTGGTCAGTCAGTCATTGAAGCAGCTACAGGATGGCTACCTACACCTTTGCTCTCCCACAACATTTTTTTTTATATAATTCTCACTGGGGAGTTATCCACATATAGGCCACAAAAGCTAACAATTCAAGCTGTAGTTATTTCATTTACTCAAATCAGTGGCAGAAGTTTCAGACAAATGTAACTAAAGGGCGCAACCTACAATTCTTCTAGATGCACCCTCTGGTCTTGAAAAATCAAATGATAATATCTCAAGTCTCACGACAGTAAACTTTCGAAGTGCTTGCCATGGCTCTAACAGGTGTCTGCTTTTTTGGACATGACAACATCCTACCGACTAGCATCATATGAGAGAGTGCCCCAGATTCACCTCTAGCAGCTTCTCTCCCTGAAGAATAATATTCTGGCCCTCCGTACCAGGATAAAGCTTGACACAGTTACCTGGAAGCTTGAGCCCTTGTTCACCTTGCTGAACAAGTTCACTCGCAGGTCTCTCGTGAGGCTCTGCCATGTCTGCTTCATACTGCGTGGAGCTCAGCTCCTCCTTGGGGAAAGCCTCACTCTCACTCACCTCCTGAGGCACTTCCAGGCAGACCCTGTGCCTTTTTGTTCCTATGCGATGCTTGGGGATGCTGCAGAAAACAAATCCACATGTCAGGTTAGCAAACACGTAAGCTTGTTGAATTTGTGCCTGGATGCATAAAATACAGCCTGGTTTGGATCAGTGTTTTATGAGACAGCATCTGGCAAGCCAAATAGTTTCCGAATTATTCAGAAGTGTTTTCTTTGCCTTTACAGAAGCAGAGTCTGTAATCCTTAGAGGGATCCCTCATCAGAAGGATGACTCCTCAGCATCTGTTAATCATGTATTAGGCAGCAACTGCCCAAAGTTGAAGAACTACCTTCCAAGCTGGCGCATTTCCTGTCTACCACAGAAATAGTGGTACTCTACCATCAACGTGGCCTCAAACAGTAAAAACAATTAAGAGTAAACCCTATTCCCAAGAAAACAGACTACTGCTAACTCTGACTGCTGTTGTTCTACCAGAATGGCAAACATCCAATTGCAGCTGGGCCCAATTTCTAATAATCCAATAGAAAAAGCAGGGGACTACATAAAGGACTACCTTTTCGTCTCATCCCCGGCCACCTCCTCTTTACAAGTCTCTCCTGTTTCCATTTCTTCAGCACACTGTTTCCCATTCTTGACTTTTTGCATGAGATCCCCTTTAAGGAACTCTGCCGCCTCTGGGGTTGGAAGAGCATGGTCAATGACAGTCACGTCCTTCCCGGCTTTCCAAAGCTTGTAACGATCTGGCTGGTACTTCCTCACAAACACATCCATGGAGATCTTCACCATGTCCTTCCGACACGAGCACTGAAGTCACAAAAAATATTCAAGTAAGGCCACATACTCAACAATTCTACTCTGCATTCCTATATCACTTTGCTTTCAGGAGCTTAACTGAAGAAAAAATTCCCACAGTTACACGTAATTGAGCCTCAAAACTCTCAAGGCTCTTCCCCAGGAAGTCAAAAGAGCATGTGTTAAGTTACTAAAAACAGGGCAGAAAAGCCAGCAAAAACGATGAAACAGAAAACCAGACGTTATCACAATAACTAAGAAAGAAAGCTCACCAGCCTATTTACAGAGTTGCCGGTAGAAGCTGACTGTTTTAAAATGAGGTCATATAAGAACAGCCAGCAAAACCAGAGACTGTAATGAGGAAGTCGGAGCCATACAAACTCTGGGCCTACCCAGAGCAGTAGAGGTTCCCCTTGTCTGGGCATAGTTACAACTAGTGCTTCAAAACATTCACTTCAATGTAACTTTTGAAAACATAATCCATGTTTGTAAGGCACCTCTACAGCAATATAACACTATCCAGTCTAAAGATTCAGCCAAGATACTTATTTTGATAAGTGACTTAAGTCACCAAAATCATACTTCCAGGCTAAACGGTCAATAAATAATGTTTAAAATATCAGACAAAATACTGATGAGTCCTGGCCACCAAGCACTCCCTTTCATCTTTGGAAAGACAGCCAGTCCCCTGCCTTTCTTTGAAGCCTCACTTGATCTACACAATGCTAAAAAACATGTTATATGCTATCCATAGTTGAAACAAGGACACAAAACAGGAGGCTGACTGGACATTGTTACTGTATCAGAAAGCAAACATCACATCTCAAATGGATAAAGCACTGAATTCACTCCCTTAGAACAAACACTGGGGGCTTAATGAGCAGCAGGGCATCAGGTTATTTGTAAACAATATGATGGCAACAGACGACTTACCAGTACAGACTGCTTCCCGTACTCGATCCACCGAAGAGTAGCAAAGTTGGTAGATTCAGCACAGTTGAAGCCATGATTAAAGCCAGCATGATAGCTATAAGGAAAGGTTATCATGAACTCTCCAGCCTCCTGTGTAACCTAGAAGACAATTGAGACATCGCATTGTTATTCACAACTTAAGAGTCTACTTGGTGGGTCTGAATAAAAGCAGCTGCTGTACCCCTCATGCAGCGTATCTGAAACCCCACCCACAGATGGTGGTTGGAGTTACTTGCCTCAATGGATAGTCTTGATACTTATCTTCACTATTTTCCTACTTATGTTAAGTATCTGTTTACTGAAAAGCAACATTCAACAGTTTTTTACTAAAACACAACACAACTGGTCAAAATAGCACAGAAGTGATTATATATATGAAATACTTTGTGACAAGCTATCTGAAGGTCATAATGGTACTTATCTGTATCAGCTACAGGTTTGGCTGAACAGTATCTAAGGCCAAGTAAAATTTCTATCCACACAGAACTTGGAAATTTACTACTGTTTTCTTTTGCTATTCATATTCAAGTACAACTCTCAGTCAGCCTTCCACTGCTGCTCTTCAACATTTCCCCCGTCTAACAAAGGTTCATGACAACAAAACCCTTCAGCTGCCGACGCAGATGTGACAGTATTTCTGAATAAGTATTCAAAGACTTGATCTTCAATGTGTGTGTGTAGGGAGGGGGGGTTTCAGGTTATCACCTGAGAAAGTAAGGAAGTCTATAAAGTTATTAATGTAATGAAAAAAATTAATAGCGAACAAGCCATATTTTCCATTGAGGAAGCAGATCACAACAAACGAAATTAGCAGGGGACAAGTCCAAAACAAAAAAAAGAATAATCTCTTTTCGCTGAATATACAGCTAAGCAGTGAAGTTAATCTAACACAGGATGTTGGTTATAGCTTTAAGTTTTTTAAAAAAAAAAAAATAAAAAAAAAAAAAATCACAGAAGACAGAGCCTTTGTTTTTAATAGTCCTTGACAGCTTTTTCTGTCTCAAACTCTTTCAGGCCCCAACTATCAGATAAATGGCAGTACAGTGGGAAACGACTGCGTTATACCCTTCCTGTTCCTATTTTCCCCTCTTAAGCATTTGCTATTGGCTGCTGTTAGAGATGAGACAGGGCTGCATGAATCTCTTGACTGAGCTGATACAACCGTGATTACTTTTCTACACCTTATCAAATGGGATGCCATATTTCTTCAGAATTGATGGAGAGATGAGGGTCATCTTGTGACGGAGAAATGCTTCACAGCTTTGAGCACTTCCTGGAAAGAAACCTGTTTAAAATAAAGTCAAAGAGAGATGTTACCGTTCTACTGTGAACTAAATTAATTTTTCAGTAAGTTTTAGGAAAAGTTATTGTCTAAACAGTATTTTTCCCTAGGCCTACAAGCATGGACCATCTTATTTGAAGTATGCTAGCTTGTATTCTGAAGAAAAAGGACAACTCCTGGAGATTTATCTTTAACAGATGCCAGTTTGAAAGAGCGTAAGAAAGACCGCACATAGAAGGATCTTTCCTTGGCTATAACTATTGACTATTAGAACTGGAAGGTTAAGGATTTTCTCGTTAAAGGTTAGACAGACCACAGCTGCATTATTTGTAATGTGACATTTCTCTTGTGCATATACTATAAACAAACACTCAGAAGTAATATAATCTATATTCTAAAAGGCAAATTATCAGTTCCGTCGTGCCAGCCTGTGCTCTTATAAAAGTTACAGGCATGTCGTACTCTGAAAGAGCTGAAACCTGTTGCAGCTGTCTATCCCACCCTCCACAAAAGGCAGAACATTAATTGCCCGATTACCTTTTGCAAGTCTCTCCAGTCGCTTCCCATGCTCTGGAGGGATAGAGTACCTGCAGTCATAAGAACAAGTCTGTTAAGTTCAAGTGACATGACAAAATCTCAAAGTTTGACCGGAAATCATAAACGGGCATCAAGGCATGAATTAATTAAAAAAAAAAAAAATCTCTACACTGTCTCTTTCAAAGTTTGATGATATAAAGCTAAAAATCTTTATCAAGGACTTCTACCTCTCTATCCCAAGAAAAATCAAGAGCCAAAAGCTGACCATCTCCTCCACTGACTTTTGCTTAAGCAGTCACGGAACTCAAAAAGTCTGATGCATTTAATTAGCAGATCTGCACAACAAAACATGAATTGCGAGAAGAAAGGGAAGAGCACTTCCTGACGTGTCTCAGTTCACCGCCATGCAATCGCTAGTATACTCAGTGCAAGGAGGAACACAGCAAGAGAGAAAATGCAATCATCTCTTTCAGCTGCTCAGACCAAGATGGGACTAAGTCAGACGCAATGCCACATCCTTAACGTGTGCACAGCTTGCGGCGTGCTCTTTAGGGCTATGTCTCTCTCTCTCTCTCTGTACACACCTTTTTATGGGCGCCACAAACACCTAGTTGGTTTGACTACAGTAAATAAAACCACCTACTTAGCTTGCTTTCGCTCTGGAATAGAGTGCCATATTCTTGATGGAGTTCCTTGTTAAATAAATCAGACTAAGGTATCAGCAAAGTTAACTTCTTCCACGTACTACTGTAAAAGAAGCAATGCCCAAAAGGTTTATCTGACTGAACTATTCTGTTTCATGTTCCCATGCTATTGCCACTGCATGGGGTTGTTCACTGGTCACATGGTGCTAGCTATTATTTTTTACTTCAAAGTTGTATTAAAAGGCAGCCAAAAATACTAGTTTCCAACAAAACTGCCATGGAAACAATTGTTGAAGTTCCTTGAGAAATTTATTTGTGAACAGAAGGGAGTGATTCACTCTCAAAATGCAACCCATGCTACAGAAAAATTCGGGAGCCTCCCCTAAAAACAATCATGAAAGCTCAGACACTGGACAAACGTCTCACCAAGATTCACTAGCCTGCTTTTAGATCTATGATAAACAGCTACATTTCAAAGTCTGTTAAAAACTGCCTGTTCCCATAGTGCCTGTGTGACAATAGACATATTACCTCTGTATGGTCATTTTAGAGCCATATGGTCATTTTAGGAAATCATAAGCAAGTTTTCCAAGTTCTGGCCCTATCGCAGCAGAGAGTGTCCACCTTACACTGTAATTCTGAAGAACTCTTTACATCAGGACAGCAAATGGACTTTCTAGAAGGTAACCAAACAAATGCTACTGAGGACACGCACTGCTTTGCAGTTCTTTACAGGTTTTTAGTGTTCTTGTCATCAGATACTACTGCAGTGCAAGATCGGAGGAATGATAATTCCTTTAGTCAACTCTCCTAACTTCACAACTTTGACTCCAGTATTTTATGGTATTGTTTTTCTACATCTAGAAGCTTCCCTAGAAAATCTTACCATGACTTGGGTTCCCCAAAATGCAAGTAATTAATACTGTAGAGATCCATGTCCTCGGTATGCCAAGCAAAGGAAGTTTTCCACATGCCAAAATACAGGTAAGGAGTGTTCACTCCTTCAATGGTTATGCCGCTTTCATTCTCCACAATATCCAGGATCGTGTTCAATCTGCCAATATTCCACGCATCTACATGCTGCAAAACACAAGCCTCATTAAACAAGCATTATGAAGAACAGAACCACACAACTCAGAGGACAGCTGCAAAAGCTATCAAGACAAATCATCTACTGGCACAGCTCAAACCATTAGTTAGTTCACCTAAAACAAAAGTTTTGCATGATGTTAGCTTACACACTGATTGTTTACTAGCCACCTTTATGGAGCAAAAAAAAAAGTTATCAACCAACGTAATGATTAGGAAGGAGAAATAATCATAAAGCTACAGACTTTACAGAGCAGAGAACAATAGTCTGAGCCTGAGCTGATGTCTGAACCCTCTTGGTCAGAAACACTTTTCATTCCAAACATCTTTTAAGAGAGTAAATCACCATAATTTAGGAGACTAGCAAGTAGAATGCATACCCTTTTCTAATGTTTATCATCCTAATACATAATGGCTACAGAGCTGCCCCACAAAAATACATGCACAGGTGGATATCGAAGCAGTGCGTGTTCACCCATCAATACTTCCAAATCTCACATGCCTTTCAGGACAAAGCAGTGTAAAAGCCACACTTACGCAACAGCAGCTTTTGCTTTCTTGAACTAAACTGTATTACACTGAAGCGCTAACAGAGGTCCCTTAGAATGTTACCTCTATGAGCCTTCTTTAACTACCTAGGTTAAATGGAGAGTATGTTATAAGCATATGGTTTATTGTGTTCCTGCCTACTCCAGAAGCTGGAACTCTGCTAAGACTATCATTAACTCTTTCTGAAAGTTAAGAGTCAAATGCTACATTAGTATTTATGGAATGCAATATACAGGGATAACCGTTACTTGAAAACCAAACCAGTTTTCTTACCTTGTCATAAAGTGTGCCATTAACATCAGCACCATAGATAGGGGCATTGAACGTAAGGTTCTTCCAGTATTTTCGTTCAAGGTCTTCAAAGTCCGTGTAGCGGGGTGTGCAGTACCTGAAAAGACAAAGATACTAAAGACTTTGCAGTCTGATACTTGACGAGTCTAAACCAACGTTCTCCACCACTGAAAGAATCGAAAGCTATAATAAAAACACCTAATACAAGTTATCAGCCAGACCCCTTCCTCCCAGAACAGCAATCAGAGCAGCCACAGCTCTGTTCCTGTGAGACTTGGGAACAAAGAATCAGAAAGAAAATTACTTTCCCCGTTTCTCAGTTTACTTTCATTTTTGCTTTGTGCACTTCTCTTGGGTCAGAACAATTTCACTTTCTAGTTGTTGCTACTTAGCAAAGTCAAAACCAGAAATGATACAAAGAACAACTTGGAAAAAACCAACAAACCCAAAGTTTTCTGCCACTGTAAAAGTAACAAAACGTTTCCAGACTCACCTGGTAATAAACTGGTCAAGCACACTCAGTTTATCGGCAAAATATCTGCTCTTGATGTCCATTCCCCAGTAACTATATACCGGCCTCTTTGTGTAGCATTGAGGGGTCAAATTTACACTCTAACACCTATTTGACGTGTGTCGGTGTATATATATATTCCAGACAATTACATATATAGCATAAAGTGTAATTTTCAGTATATTATTCTATTTGAGAAACAGAACCCTAATATATCTGATGTGTACTGCTCTTGCAAGACAAAATAAGCTTTAGTGGGCAGAGTGCACCTGGCAATTCCGATGTCATTTCTGAACAGGCTGTTTTGCTTAAACACCTTTTAAAGTCATCTTTTCTCTGTGTCCTTTTTCACGTCAAGAACATTCCTTTCCCTACTACTCTATTCAGTAAATATTTTGATGGTCTACCTGCTAGGGATAAACAGGAGTCCACAGCAGAAATAAAAAGTTCTGCCAGCATTATGTATCCTCTCGACAAATGACACAAGCGACAAAGGCCCCCACCCACACAGCGAGTTTTACAAGCACACCTCATCTGCCCGGGGCGTTATGTTCACGCCTCTGACCAGCACCAGTCCGTAGCGAGGACCTGGTCCCGGGGAATTTGGACAACAGGATCTCCCGCAGTAACTATGTGCACGGCGGTGCGGACGTACTTGTCGCTGTTGGC